CATGAGACAAGTGCTCGGGCCTGGTGCACTGGGAAGACCCAGAGGGATCGGGTGGAGAGGGAGGTGGGAGGGGGGACTGGGATGGGGAATACATGTAAATCCATGGCTAATTCATATCAATGTATAACAAAAACTACTGTAATGATGTAAAGTAATTAGCCTCCAACTAATAAAAATTAAAAAAAATTAAAAAAAAAAAAAAAAAAGAGTATATGATACAGGGGATATAGCCAATATTTTTTTCTTTACTGAAGTATAGTCAATTTACAATGCTGGGTAAGTTTCAAGTATACAGCAAAGTGATTCAGTTATACACACACACACACACACACACACATATATGTAGCCTCTTTTCCATATTCTTTTTCCTTATAGGTTATTACTATATATGGAATATAGTTCCCTATGCTATACAACAGAACTTTGTTGTTTATCTATTTCAAATATAGTAGTGTCTGTTCAACCCATACTCCTAATTTACCCCACCTCCTCACCTGTCCCCTTTGATAACTACAGATTTATTATGTCTGAGTCTACTTCTGTAAATAAATTCATCTGGGTTTTTTTTTGGATTCCATGTACACATGGTTTCATGTGGTATTCATCTTTCTCTGACTGACTTCACTTAGTATGATCATCTCTCCAGGTCCATCCATGTTGCTGCAAATGGTGTTATTTCATTCTTTCTTATGGTACAGCCAACATTTTATAAATGGAGCATAATCTTTAAAATCTGTGAATCACTACATTGAATACCTATAACTTATATCAACTATACCTCAATTTAAAATTTAAAAAAACCACTAAGGCAGGACTAAGGTCATAGGAAATGACACACAGGCTAGAACAGGCCAAGGCACCCCTTGGGGCCCAGTCACCAGCTCTGATGCCTTCTGTGTTAGAAGGGACGTAATCAAGTGTTTATATTCTAATCCAATGAAGCTCTATGTAGATTAAAACCACAACCCCAAAGGAAAAAAAAATGCTTCATCATTTAATAAGCATTGCTGTTTCATAACTGCATTAGGAGAGAAGAGCAATAAAGTTTCTGTCTTCAAAAACTAAAACAGACAACATGGGAGAAATGCAAAAACATTTCTGAGGTGGTGGACTGGTGCACAGTAAGTTATTAATGTTTTAAACAAGACAAAGATAAGTCTTTTCTTCCTCTGCTATCCAACTTCCTTCAGTGTTCTCCAATTTCTCACCTCCCATCCATTCCTTCAAACACTGAAGCCTGGTATCAGTCTAACACTTAGAGCCACTTTCTCAAAGGTTGAGGGTACCTATGTGATGAGCCCCAAATAAATATCTCAAGCACTGCACACGAGAGGGTAACAGGCAGGAAGGCCAGGGGTCTCCAAACAGAAGAAACAGGCTGCAAGCGCCAGGCATATTTCTCTCTCTTGAGCTGCACAAGGAAACAAATGTGATATTTTTTTCCTTCTCTATACAAATTTAAAAGGTTTCTCTTAAAATGCTGTGTTGCCAGGATAACCTGGTTTCACCTGAAGCTGACTATTCTCAAACCCTGAGTTAACCAATACCTTTTTTCTTATGGAAATGTTTGTCTTAAGCTATGTTAATGTACCCCAGACTCTGTCTTCAAGTTCCTCCAAATGGCTCAGAACCTACTTGACAAACCTGTGTATTATACTCAGATACTGTTCCCCTAATCTATGTAAACGAAACTATTTGTATGGTAATCTGCCCTTCTACAAGATTCAAGTCAATTGTTTTATGGCCTGGGATGAATTATATGGTGCCATTCTGAGTTTTAAGACATTCCTTTCCTTTCATTAACAGACTGCTGGTGACTATATAACATCCAGCTGAAGACTAGCAGGGGGGTACTCTTTCTGCCCCCTTCTGATGCCTATGTCAGAAGCTTCCTCTATCTCCTTCATACTTTAATAAAACTTTATTACACAAAAGCGCTGAGTGATCCAGCCTCGTCTCTGGCCCTGGATTGAATTCGTCTCCTCTGGAGGCCAAGAATCCCAGCGTCTTATCGTTCAGCAACAACCTTTCACACGTCTGATGAGGTTCCCTGGTTGGCAACATGTCATATGTGTGGTCCTAACTCCTTGCATTTTTAAGTGCATTTTAAGTTCATTCCAGGAATTAAGTGCATTTTCTTTTCAAGATCTCCAACTGATCAAATCTCAGTAAGCTTCTCAGATTTATCCTCCTCCTCCCAGGTCCTACATATTCACTGCTCATTCTCCACCTATTTCTGGACAAGGTTCATTTCTCCAGGTTCTCAGACATGCCATCATCTCTTCTCGATTTGTATGCCAAACCCTAACAATCTCACGGTTTCAGTGACCACTTACAAAGATAACCTACATATTCTTTATTTTATTGAAGTATAGTTGTTTATAATGTTGTGTTAATCTCTGCTGTACCACAATGTGAATCAGCTATTCTTTTTCATATTCTTTTCCATTACAGTTTATAACTGGATATTGACTATAGTTCCCTGTGCTGTAGAGCTGG